AAGTCTATTCAATAATGCTTATTTTTGGATCAGACTTCCTGCAAGAGATTTAAAAAGAAAGAAAGAATGGCTCAATTCTGCCAACTCTTCTGCTGCTGCTTTTATAAAACACACACACAGATTATATCACTCCTACTTCATTTTTACTCCAAGGTCAGGAAGAGCTCAGCCAGATAAAACATTGGGGGGAAAAGGAGGTGGAATAAGCTCCAAAACATTATTTTTTCGTAAATACAACTTCTCATTTTTTAAAATAAAGACGTCAGACAGTTCCCAAACCAAAACCCGCTTCTTAGTTTACGGACTTTTATCCTGTAGTCCACTGAACAGCCTCGCGTTCAAACATCGTTCTCGATTCCTCAGAAAATCGAAGGTCCCGACGTCAGTAATCTGTCCATCGGTAGAAATGAGGAACAAACTCCTCGCAGGCGGTGGCTGGGGTTATTCTTAGACGACAGCAGCGACTGATGGAGGCAAAACATTCACCAGCACGCCAGAGTTCTTTGGAAGTACAGGCCCATCAGATGATATCCATGTGACACATGTTTGTGAGGGTGTTAACAGACACCTGCAGTCAAATATTCACATTTTTAACGTCACGTTCTTAAGATTCCCGTGCAGGCTCAGGTGTCCATGTCGTGCTGCATTCTGGGTAGGGCATATTGCGCTATTCGACAGACGTATGAGTAGGAAGTCACAATTTTAATTTCTTTCTTAAAATTGTGATGTTGTCTTACATCTGGAGACAGATTTGTAGATCAGGGGATCTCCGCAGCGCGACAGTACTTCATTAAAACGCTGTTCAGTCACATTTTACCTTTATTGAACTTATTGAACGTTGTATTGTGAATTCGATAGTATTGCGATTATTGGGGCAGCCCTAATTCTGGGTATTACAGGAGCTTATCTGGGTGCAGCAGATTCTAGAGAAGCGATGCTGTTTCTATACTGTTCACAAAGCCACATTACAATGCAGCTTCAATCAGGCGGGTAACACTGTTAGGATTATGGTATGTTCTGAGGACTTTAGATAGATCCCACACAGAATTACACTACAACTACTGTTTGAGTGAACATGCTTTTACTCCTCATACTGCCAGAACTACTGAAACCCCGTCACCCACCCATTGTCTGTACGATGACTGCGATCCATCCAAATTTAATAGGAAGCAGGAACTGAGAATGTCACTGTGCACAGCAGGTACTTTCTGTTTCTCTCATAGTATCAAACAAGAAAGAAGATGAACGCTACAAACTCTTTGTTTTGTACACAAAAAGCTGTTTGTCAGCGGTTCCTGGAACTGAGACCGATCCACTTCTTCTGAGCTTGTGTGGACCTGTGTGTGTAAACCGCAGCGAGAGCACAACAATGTGCGGTTCTGCAATGTCACTACGCACATTTACCTACATTAAGTATTTATTATACAAATTGGGGTTACAATAAGCACGGTTTACATAACCCTAGCTCAGAAACAAATGGTTCTTTAATTAGTAAAAAAAGAGAAAGTGTATTCTTTTATTTAAACTCATAATTCATCTTCAATCTTCATTTATGGGGAGAAAAATCCCAAACCCAGTACGGTAAATCAGCTGTACTGTTACATCCCTTTATAAAGAACACACCAACATTTACATTAAATATGATTACATTAAATATGATTGCATTAAATATGATTACATTAAATATGATTGCATTAAATATGATCACATTAAATATGATTGCATTAAATATGATTGCATTAAATATGATTACATTAAATATGATTACATTAAATATGATTACATTAAATATGAACCTCATTTCACATTCAAACAATCCTATAACACAGCAGTGATACTAATACACTGAACACCATTTTGCTGCAGAATAACTACTTTTTCTTTCTCTAATAACACACACACACGCACGCACGCACGCACGCACACACACACACACACACACACACACACACACACACACACACATTTAGTTAGGTTTAAGGTTTTGAATGCAGCCACTGATGAAGTGAAGTCAGATTTTATACAGTAAACATCAAACAGCCTCAGCTGCTGCTGTGTGTGTGTGTGTGTGTGTGTGTGTGTGTGTGTGTGTGTGTGTGTGTGTGTGTGTGTCCCAACATGAAGCAGCTACAGCGGGGCTAACGGTTAGCCAGCAAGCTAACGGCAACAAACGCGATTGATTTCGTCTAAAACAAAGATGGCTAACGTCAGCTAGAAGAACCTACCGGGGTTGGTTTGGAGGCAGAAGAGGAGGAAGGTGGCGATAAAAGCAGCGGACATGGTTGAGGTCGTTGTTTTCTTTCGAGGTACCGTCAGTTCCTCGTCCAGGCTCGGCTCGGCTCGGCTCGGACGGACTCTCCGGTCGAGGGCGGTGCGGCGTTGTTGTTTTACAGCTCACGCAAGCGCAGTAGAGATTCGGAAGCTGTGTTTCCGGTCGCGCTTTCAAAATAAATAGCCAGGTCGACCGAGTATTAAGTGACACATTTTAGGGATTTTAAATGATATTATATTCAAAGACTGTAAAATGAACCCAAATGATGAACTCAGTTATCGATGCATTAATGTGTTTTTATGTTGTTGTATTTGAATTACTTTATATGATGCCGGGTAGTTTAATCAACAATAATACATCAGTTTTATTAGTTGATTTATATTTTGAGTTAATCTGAATCCGCAGTGATCAAAGTTATCAAATAAATGTAGAGTGTAAAGTAGCAGAAAATGGTAGGCCATCCTTAATTGTACTTAAGTACACTGAAGAGTAGCTTTAAAGTATTTGTCTTTAACATGAAAGCACATGCTACTAAAAAAAAACAACAATCAAGGGTTAAGTAAAAAAAAAAAACAATCATTTGATGAATACATACATTACCCAGTTCCTAAAGCATCAGAGGAACAGTTGAATCATTTCTTTAGTTATAAAAGCTCAACTAATCCACTTCATCAGGGCGATGTGAGTTTGATCAGGTTTAAAATGTATTTATGTAAAAAGTGACCATGCACAATAATTAACATGAGGACTGAAGTCCACCATGTAAATGTCCAATCAGGCTAATTGTCCTCTGCAGTTCCTGGTAGGTTCCTGGCATATCAGAGACATTAAAAGAATACATACAACAGCACATAAGCACATATAAAATCACATAAACACAGAGCACATAAACATAGAAAGAAACCACACAAGCATAAACAATAATAACATGTCATAACAATGTGACACATAAAAGACATTACGGCAAAACATATAAAAGCACATTAAGCACAGACAGTTAGTGAAACAATGAGAGCAGAAGCACTACTCCAGATTATGGCAGCACATTTGATTGTCCTGTAACCACTGATGGTTTAATAGTCAGTGATATCCTTCTGGAAACACACACAGACGACCCAAACACTGTCATGTCATTCAGTACTAATACACTGTTGTATCCCCAACCCCTTATAGTGTTTTAACTCCAGACCACAGCGACCATCCAACACTCATAGAGAGGTTTTTATCCATTGTTAACAGTCTATGAGCGAGAGCAAGGCCTTACTTTTATTTTGAAAGCACAGCAACCGTTGTTCCGGTCTTGTGTGTGCAGCTTGATGCCAGCAGAGGCAGAGTGTTGGAGACAGAGAGTTGCGTCAACCCTATTCACTCTGTAGGGCCAGTTTTTTATTTTCCTTAAATAAAGGCAGACCATTCCCAAACAGTCCCATACTCTGGAGGGATAATTATTCATTATTAATATTTACAGAATATATCAAAATGTAGCAGAATTTAAGTTCATCAGACTATTGAAAATGAAGATATTTAACCACCTAGTGTGTAAAATGAGTATTGAAGTGTATTTTGTTCTGTACAGGATGTGGCTCACAGTTAACTAGTATGGCAGCTTATAATAGATCATATTTACTGTAAGTATAACCTTAGCTTTGCGTGCATGTCAGCTGTGTCTTTATCAGTATTGATAAGCAGTGAACACATTGATAAAGGATATCTAAAACAGAATGAGTGAATGGAAAGTTTATTGTGTACAGACTTTTATAGATGACCGACAACTCAGTATGCAGGTTTGAGTATGTAGGTTTTATTACCAAGTTTTGGCCACCTACTATCTATCTATATATCTATATCTATATATCTATATATACATATACTTTATGCATTGGTATTATATACAGATAATATATATATATATGTGTGTGTGGATTTTGGTTCACAATAAAAATGTTTCCAGATGTTGACTTTTAATTGAGTTAATACAATAAGAAACAATATTTTTCATTGGAAATATACATTTTATTACATACATGTACTGTATAACATGTTTACTGTATATACATAGCTCTAAAACACTTCACTGTGTGTACAGTGAATGCAATTAAACAAAATGAAAATTCAGCTAGACAACCCCTGCTGTTACTGAAAGAAATGGTGTGACAGAGTTGATGTCCCCCTCTGTCTCCAGCTCTCTGGTTCGAGACTCTGACTGCACAGTTGTAGCGCCTCCTGCAGGCCGACACTGATGCACTTCTGATGTGTTAGTTCATTTGAACTTTAAAACACAGATTAACTATAAAACAGATATATCTCAAATGCTTATTGCTAATGCTAATTATTATGTTGGTCTTACACACTTATTCTGTAGTTATCTTATAGAGATTAACATAAAAACTGTATACAAAGGTGGACTCTCAGGGTTGTATTTACCACTTCCTTGGCCTACTCTTTCCATTTTGAAAGCCCCTTGAGACAATTTGAGACATTTACACATCTTCATGATCGATCTACTCTCAGTCAGCATGTGCTGTGAGTTCAGGACTTACTTCTTCTTTCTACTACTACTTATTTTAATCGGACAACAAATACAAGCCTTGGAGTTTTAATTTAAGTTTAGAAGATATTCTCAAATAGATAGTTTTCATGTCATGGTTCTTTTGGTTAAAAACACAATAAATAAATATATTCATGCACTTGTGTAATGTCAGAATGAAACCACACACAGGCACACATGTTCAAATAATGACTTTATTGAAGTTTAATGGAGTACAACATTATTGTGTAAACCTCGGACGTTGTGTTGTTTCTCACAAACACGCTTTCACTTCTCTTTCTAAGAAAACCTTCATATTGCCAAAAAGAGGCAATTCAAATATGCATGCTTAACAAAATGTGCCCACTGGATGGCAGATTATGCAGGTTTTTTAAGTCCACATCCACAATACAGAATCAAGCACGGTAAACGGTGGATGGTGATCCTATAGCACCATGGCAGCATAAATAATTTAGTGTGTGGGCAGCTCCAGTGGGCATGCCCTACTCCTTCACTCAAGCACAGTATGTGGCAATACTGTGAGCAACATTAGGACTGTACAGCACAACAACTTCACCTGTATGAGTCCTGTACCTACACGTCTCTGCTGTACAGTCCCTTCACAGTAACACCTGCTCCGAGGGAATAAAATGGGACTGCTGCAGGATTTGTTGAATCAAAATGGCAAATGGACTGTACATGTATAGAGCCTTTCTAGTCTTCTGACCAATCAAAGCGCTTTTACACTACATGCCACATTCACCCATTCACACAGTGATGGCAAGCGCTCATCACAAACAGAAACGGATCCACTCATACACATTCACACACCGCATCGGGAGCAATCTGGGGCTCAGTACCTTCGCTATGCAGCAGGAGGAGCCGAGGATCGAGCCCCCAACCTTCTGATTGGTGGACAACCCGCTCTACCTCCTGAGCAACAGCCACCCCCAAAACTCTGAAGTCAAGCAAGAATCGATTATTTCACTGTCAGTGTCTTTTAAAATCAGCTCTTCTTCACTGCTTCTGTGCTGTTAAGCCGTTGCCTCCTCTGTCCTATGTCTCCCCCGATGTGACATCAGGTTGTTTGCTGCAGCTGGGCCCTGCTGCCTTCAGGGGGCGCCCTTCATCCACAGTGCTGTCGTCTGCAATGATGCTGACCGGGTCGTAGATCTCCTTAGGTGGTTGGGAGTTCCACATGGCTATGTAATTGGAAGAGTTGGGGGGCGCCAGCAGGTACTGAGGGACAGGAGGGAGGCAAATGAACTCATTAACACCTGGCTAAAGCCTCCAAAAGGAGGGGAAACACTGTAAGGGCATGAATACACACATGCATACGGTTGAAATCAGTGAACCACGACTTGACAGGGTTGAAGGTGAGTCATTACAAACAAACTTGTACACACACAAATCCACGCAGATACATATAAACATACAAACCTCTTTAAAGTGCTGAGGCAGCGCATCTTTCGGGCAGAGAAAGTGGGATATATTTTTCCGATAGACCACTGCGACCACCACCAGAGTCACCACCACTGCCAAGATGACAAACGTCACCAAGGCCGCCACCCACGGAACCTCTTCTCCTGCAAAACAGTCAGACCAAGAACAGCAATCAGTATGTCTCTCATTTTAATGTGCTGCTTGTTGTCTCGCCGAGAGGCATTCTGATTTGAATCAGTCACTGCTAGTAAAAAGATCAGTGTTGAGCCTCTGTCAGTGAAAGTCTACACCTCCTGCAGGGATGTTTCACACCTTTAAATGATTTGACTTGTTTTTGCAAAATATAGCAGAGCAGACCAGATCTCCTCGCTGTACGTGGCATTGCACCACTTACCTAAACACCTTGGCTCACTCTGTACTAACCACAAATACAAACCGGGTGTTAGGTGGCGCTGACTTTCTGAGTAATGTCACTGCTGCGCCAAGTGTTGCTCAAAAGAACAACAAAGAAACACAAAGTTGTTTCTTTAACAGAGTGTAAGGGAGGGAGGACGCGGGTGAACGAGCAGAGACTGCGGTTTTGTTGTGTTTTCTTATCTGAACTCTGAGGATGGAGGGTGTCAAATCTAGTACAGATTGTATCTGAGGCAAACTCGTGGGCTATGTAAATAGAACCGACTTCTGAGGTGCAACAGGTTCTTTAGAGCAGGTTCTGAGTTTGGATTCAGGTGAGATGAACTGCTATCAGCACCTACAGTAGTACAATGCAGGTAATATTGTTATTTTATGTCAGAAGTATGAGAGTATTCAGACTAGCCAATAAAGCATTTTTGCAAGCAGGTTGAATTTCAGCAGGTATAATGTTTACTATGGTGCCCATCTTAGGTTAGCATGTCAGCTTTTATTAATAATAACTAACCAGTTTGAACTGATGATGGTGCTAAAGAGAAAGACAGAGGATCACCAAAGCTATTGCATTTGACCCCGAGGGGGACTGAACCACATTTAATGGGAATCCACCGATAGCTCGCCTCATGGTAGCAGGAAAAGTCTGGGGAACATTGATGTCTTGAGTTTGGCTAAAAATCAATTCACGTCAGTCTTATTTTGTAATGATAAGAATATGGTGGACGTCATTGAGCTACCACAACAAGCAGATCAACTCCTTCCAGCTGGTGGTGAGTTGCAGATGGATTCGAAAGCCAACCACTGTTTTACAAATCAATACAAATAAATAGCAAAGGAGCGTACTGATGGTGGTGCTCTCGCAGACCGGCGTGCTGGCCTCGCTGGGGCTGGCGCTCCTCAGGGTGTAGATTTGTACTTGGATGCAGTACTTGGTCCAGACTTCCAAGTCACTCAGAACCACCCGGTTTTGCTTTACGCCGCTCAAGCTTTGGACCTGTAGGAAGCAACAGAGAAGTGGTGAGATGTGTTGGTCCGTTTTAACCACAATGCCCTGCAGCAGCTACAGGACACCACAGAGACAGACCACAGATAACTGGTGATAGCCAACCATAAAACAGGTAAGCATCTGGCAGCTTTTGGATCTGAAGCAGCTTGTTAAATAAACAGGTATAGAAACTGCCAGCATGAGGTTGTTTTGTAAAGAATTAATCTCAGCAATGGTTTCATCTGTACTCAAAGCACATAGCCTTAAAATACATCTTAACATGGTCAGTACAAACTGACAGCATTATATTATGGCATTAAAAGAAACTGCCTTTCTGTGGGGACGGTTTGAAGCAGATATCAAAAGTGTATTTATGTCCAGATTTCATAACAATACACAAAGGGCTAAAAATGGCCAAAAGAAATATGTCAAATAATTGCAGCAGGTAATTTTTATGAAATGAAAATAACTTTTTTCATATTTGCTGAAACTTTCACTACATCCTGAACATTGTTTCATAGATTATCTGTCTCATGTACTACTGTCAGGATAGAGTCAAAGTTCAGGCAAATATGAAAAAGTTACCCACGGTCGCTTTAAACCAACGCGTCCCACCTTTCCCTCCTGGCCGTCCTTCCAGTAGGTGATGTTGTAGGTGGCGTAGTGGTATACATTCCTGAGTGTTGAGAGAGTGAACGCTGGATCTTTAATGCTGACTTCGATAGAAGCCCCGTTGGAGAGGAGAGAGACATTGGGTGAGCCGATGGTGGCTGAGGAAGAGAGCGAGAGGAGAGTGTGAAGACAGAGGTAACACAGTTAAAGACTTCTGGCAAAAGCAAAATCCATGTTGCTTATTTACATTAAGACATTTTTTTGGTATTGTAAATTTTCTGAAATTCTGTCTTTAAAAGTACCAGTGCAGGTATCTGCCAATATACCCTTCTACATGTTATATACTGGAGCTTTAAATATGCAAACAATGTATTATCTTATCAACTATGCACTAATTTGTATACATTTCCAGAACGTAAATACAATAATTGAACAATAATTCTCGTTTCATGTTTCGTGTTTCAACAGCCATAAAAAAATCGTCTTTGCCATGTTTTTTGGAATGAAATGTTATATAAATCAGGCTATGAATGATATATGAACAAAAACCTTTGTAAAAACCTTCAGAATATAGACAGGAATGAAACTGGAAGGTTTGGTGTATGTGAGTGCTGCTGAAGTGGAGATTTCTGGCTAAGGGTGTGAAACTCATATTGAGAAAACGACCTTTAAGGCTATGTGATGTAAAGTCCCACACAGACACTACAGGTGAATAGGGAAAGAAATGTAACTAATGGCTATAACCATGAAACTTCCCCAGTTTATTACTTACATTAAGACAATTATTTTTTGTACTACAATTTTTTGAAATATTATGTTGAAATATGCAAATGAGGCATTACCAAATGTAAATTTTTGGTGAATTTTGGAGCAATTTAACGTGAACAGACGACATATAGAAACACCTTAATGTGTATTTTGCGGTGATTTCTTTCCATTAGTCTGAAAGAAGACCGTCCACAATCTCAAACTTATCTAATACATAAAAAATAATGGTTTTGCCTTTAGTATCTAATTTATCTAATAATTTATTACAAGATATGTTTATCAGAGAAGATCGCTGAGAAAACATCACTGGGCAATCTTGTAATAAAAAATGAACACACATGCAGTGTTTTGAAGTGAAAGGCCATGAAACACAGGGAGTTTCCACTCACTGTACTTGTCCAAGGTTATCAGGTCACTCTTCGCCCAATCGGAGATCTCTGCCCCCAACTGCGCCCGGACTTGGCCCAAATACGTTCCATACTGACTGATGAATTTGGTGAGGGCGGTGATGTCACATTCACAGTGGGAGATGTTCACACAGGCTTTTACGGATCCTGAGCGTGGGGAACTGTGGACAAAACACAGTACTGGTATTACAGATCTGCCATCTCAGTTTCAGTTTCAGGTGTCATCATCAACACATACAAAACGAATGGCAGCGAGACAGTGTGTGTTTGTGAAGGTGTTACTGTCTGTAAATACTTCTGAGACAAAAGGTAAGCAGTGTGGCATGCTGTAAAGAAAACTTCTAGGAAATATGCCTAAAAGCCCCCTGACCCTGACCCTTTTCTTACCACCTCATACTTTATTTTATAATGACAGAACCTATGAATATACTAATTTTGTTCATTTCTAAAGTTTTCCTGCTGGACACAAGATGTCTCCTCCTTCACTGTAAAGTCCATTCTCAGTGTCTGTGCACTGGTGGCCTCAAGTTTCTACATCACACTTGCATACTGGATCAGGACTGACTTTCAAACTATTTGTGACGTCACAAATCATGCTTAAAAAAATCTGATATTCAGTAAGCTCAGAGAAACTTCTTTCAGCAGATGAATGAGAAAACATCCTTCTAGTGTCAAACTCTGCACAGACATCATTCAAACATCACACTGTAGGAACAAGAAAAAAAGCATCCTTGAGTGGAAGGGGACTTAGCATTAATATAAAATACTACAGTATAAATAAAATCACCAAAACGGTAAATACCATAAGTCATAACACAAATGCAGAACAATGAGCTCATAGTTCTCAGATTGTGTCAAAAGTGTAATGTGTGTTTGATTAACATGAGTCAGTCACAGTTCCCAGAAGAGAAGCTACTTCTGTACAGCACCACCCGTAGTGTTAATAAGAGGAAAGTATCACTGGTCACAGTTTTCTCTGGGGAGTGTTACGGGGGGAGCGGGGCTCTACAGCTACAGTTTGTTTGTCTTTGAGAGTTTGGCAGTTAGTTAAATCAAGCGTCTGATAAAAATCTGGCTGTTACAGACACAGCAAAGACTGTGCCAACCCTGAAGCCCCTCAGATTTTCAATTGCAACCACACTGCTAGTCATACAGACTGCTTTGCCTGTTAGCGGGTGTGATTGCAGCACTTCAGAGAAACAGAGTGAGCGATGGAGCAGATATAAACAACTACTCATATGCAAAACAGCATTTAGCTACCAGCCTGGAGCTACTGTGTTTTCATCAGAAGAGGAAAATCTCCAAGTCATGGTAGACCGACTGAAACTTGATTTTGCTTTTTAGTTGTGTAAATACATAATATCCACTGTAGCTTCTCACTGTTACTGCTGTAGGCAGCTCTCCTGATTCACATTAACTTAATAGTGAAAGAAGATGAACCCTAACCCTGACCCTCACCCCTGTGCCAATGAGTTGTCGGTTCATTTTGGTAACATATTTATCTTTTATGTACATTTCTAAACCTAAAATGACCAAAATTCTCAAGTTCCAGCTATTCAAATGTGACTGTCTGCTAGTTTCTTTGTCCTATATGACAGCAAACAGATTAGACTGCAGATTGTACAGAACAAAGTCTCCTTCATTACTTTCTGATATGAAAGACAAATGGATCCATCAAATAACTCATAATAGAAATAATTCAGCTGCAGCCTTAAAGTAAACAGACCTTGATAGCAGTGCAGCCAGTAACACAGCCGGACAAAGGAGCAAGTGTTTGCTAAACCAGAGAGGGTTTAGTGGTGCTGAGATTAGTGTTGACTCACCTGTATTCAGTGGTGTAGACCAGGCCACTGGCTGCCCCCTCAGGTGGGTCCCACCTCAGCACAAGGTTCATGTTGTAGGAGGTCAAGCGGACATTTCTGGGTTGGCTGAGGACTCCTGACACCACTGCACAGTCCAGATCCAAATAAAACGGGACACAAAAGGTACACTCAGGGTTGGAGGGGACATTTTCTCATGATAAAAAAGCAACTGGAGGTTTTCCATTGAGTGGTGCGTTCACTGTCCGTCCACCTTTAGTACATTACAGACAGAACTCTACCCGCTGATTTATGTGAATTATTAGATTTTACAAAACTTAAAGCAGGTGATCTGTGTGGTGCATTGTTTACCATCTTTTTACAGGCTAAATATTTCCACTCAAGTCATAAAACAGTTTCTAATTCAGTGAAAATTCAGATTAACAGCAAATTATCCTTCAATAATTACTAAAATACTACCTAAATACTGTTATACTTTCTGTAGTCGTCCTTGTGTGTGGTAATACAGTTCCTCTTAAAGTCCACACACAGTAACAACCACTTCAGTTCAATGATTAACAGACAGACAGACAGACAGATCTCACCTCTGGATCCACATAGTGTTGAAAACGTCAGGATAAAGGCACAGAGAGTAGCTGACATGTTATCCCAAAGGCTCTTCTGTCAAGTGTCTGCTATATTCCAGCTCCGTAGTGTGTGTGTGTGTGTGTGTGTGTGTGTGTGTGTGTGTGTAGATCTGTTTCGTTTATAATAGTTTTGTATTTCCTGGTAGCTCTCGGTAACAGGAGGCGGGGAAGTCCGCGGAACCGAAACTGTTTCCTACTCAGAAACGTCTGGTGCTTCAGGGAACCAGCCAATCAGTGACAGCTGTAGCTCAGTGTCGTTTACTGCGACTCTGTTGTGTTTCTGAATAAATCGGTGGTGCGCACATGTGCGTCAGTGGCGCACTGAGGCTGGCCGAGGGGCAGGTGCGAACATACAAATAAAAAAGGGCACCAAATGATGCTTTTATTGTGAAACACTTCCACCTATCATGTTCTATACATGATATGCAGGGCACTTTTTTGTTGTCACCACCCACACACATTTCTCTGTACTTTAGCCTACTTAACCCCGCACATACTGTTCGTTTTGACATTTGACAGCAGTAAAAAAATACCCTACACGTCATTCTTTTAACCTGACATTTGATGGCTTTTCCTAAAGTGACCCAAAATACACAAAAAATAAAATATTTTAAAATGTTATACTTCTGCACAGGTGCTACAAATTTTTGTACATTGATGCTGTTCCGGGTCAAATTTGACCCTGATCTAGTGAGATGGATTTTAAACCCACTAGAGTGGGTCCAATCAAGGAAAATGGTGGTTCTAGGGACTCTTGAAACTGTGGAACTGTATATTCTAGGTCTGTGTGTATTTTCATGGGACAGTTGGGGGTGGGGCTATAGATGTTTTTTTCTCCAAGGAGTCTCAAACGAGTGGTCTAGAACCTAAAAAATACACTCTCATGCCATCTAAAATCATAAATTAATGATTAATAATGAATTTATTAATGTAAGATAAAAAATGTTTTTGTCATATTTGCTGAAACCTTCTCTATATCCCAACAGTAGTACATGAGACAGATAATCTGTAAAAAAAAACAGGTTATTCTGGCTCGTTCTAGTGCTCCTAATGGCTTTTGCAAGAATCCAGGGTGTGAACGAAAACAACCATTCAGAGGAGAGAAAGATATAAAGAGGCATCTTTAAAGTTCCAACCCAAAGCGTCTCTATATCTTTCTCAGGCAATACGAGAACTACGAGAGGTCATTTATGGTGTAGCTATAACTGACAGATAACCAGATATTATTCTTGTGAAGTAAAAAAGAAAACAAAACCAGAATAACCAATAAAATGAATAGCAAACAGATTTTCAGTACACAACATCAATTATCCTGTCCGAACTGGAGTGTGAAGAAGTAAACTTTAAAACAGGTTGATCCAAAGTTTATTAGGAGAAGATGAACTATGGTCACAAGAGCCCTGATAATAATACAATAATCTCCAAGCTATCTTTGTTTATTAAGTTTTCCTTATTGGTAAAAAGATTATGAACCGTCACATTAATGTTTAAAGAGAATCTTTCCAGTTTATAACTTTGAGAACACACATACAGTAAAGTTAAAAGAAGTCACACACCGTACTTTATCCACCAGATGTTTATGCAACCCAGTATCACGCCAAAGCGTGTCATACACACGCCGGCCCACCGTGGCAGTGTCACATCTTCAGCAGGGACTCACTCTGCGGTCAAATTAGCATTATAAATATGCAACATCAAAACAAAGCTGAGGTCACAGTTTAGTTAGCTTAGGGGTGCAAGCAGCAGTCCGATGGGTGAAAGTTCTGTGTCTGTGTACGTGGCTCTTTATAATGCACTAGGCGAGGAAAAAGGCGACACTGACACAGTATCCTCTAGTGGATCTATTACATGCTTTGGTGTGAGACTGGGTTGGTTTTTGATACCATCAGGGTGGTGTACCACCCTAACAAAGGCACCAGCAGCCTGATTACTGCAAGATAAACAGCCTATCAGTAAAGAATCACAGAAAAAGTCAAAATCACTTGGCTTATTTGGCATAGGATAACCGGATGGACACAGTAATACAACACATACTGTAAGTGCATTCAGTAAGAACATTCAAACTAATGCATGAACTCTGCTGACCAGACAGTAACTTCAACAACCTCACACTCATTTAGAAAGACAGATGAAGAGTCAGAAGCAATAAAAATACTGGCATGAAATAGAATTATTAGTATTTACAAAGACATGTCACTCTTAATCACAAACTTTACCCCCAATTACCTCGTCTTCTCAAAACCAGTCAGCCAAAACAACTCCACCTAGACGAGTTCCATCCTATCACTTTACACTTAATACATCACTGGCAGTCCACAGTCTTCCTCTCATTCCTCAGAGTTGCTCCTCTTCAGTTTAAGAGGCCTGTGGGCAGTCAGAAGGCAGTCAGCAGAGCCTTCTTTATGCAGCTGCGTGGCTGAGATCTGACCCAAGCATTCAGGCGGTGCTCTTCCACAATTCAGGACTTGGAGGAGGAAGTATGACTGGAGATAAGAGAGACATTGATGCTTACAGGTTGCTGATAATGTTCTACCTAAGTCTCATTAAGATGGATTATATGCACTTTTGATAAGTGCAATAAATCAGACAGTTACCACAGGTACAGTGGTCTGTTTAAGAATGTGCCTATAGTTATCTTGGAGATCTGGATCCTGACAATAACCTCACAAGATGGTCCCATGTAAAACAGTTTAAAGCAACATTATGCAACTACTTAAAATAACAGAATCCTTTTAATGCTAAACTGACAAACTGAAATTTGGTTCACCTTATTAGACCTGTACATTTCCACTTGGCACCCCGTACGCCTGTTGGAGAAAACGTTTCCTAATGGATGGACAAGTAGCTTTACTAGTTTCTAAAGTAACCACTAAGTGCCGCTGACTGCAGAGCCTCTGCGAGAGAGGCGAATAGACCACAGAGCATGATGGCGGTGACAGCTGTATAAATCAGTTACACTCCTAGACTGTAGGGGAGCATTCTTGCATAATGTTGCTTTAAAGAGTAGCTTAACACCCCCTTTAAATCTTCCATTTGCTGACCCCCAGTGGTTTAACTTCTCACCTTGCTGCAGTGATGCACAGGTGTACTCCAGCACCCTGTGACATCACTGTTGGGTGTGGTTACAGGTGCAACACTGCACATTTGTGACCACACCCAACCACACGAGTAGCGATGATAGGAGTGGAAAACCCACTATTTCAGCCAGGTGTTGAGCACTTTCCCAGAGCTTAAAGGCTAACTCTGGTGTTATTATATATTCTTCTTATTGTTAACAAATCTCATGAAAAGACCAAAACCAACAACGTGTCTCAATCCTTTCTGACTTCCTGTCTGTGGCTCTCAGCTCCAAGATGATTAGTTCCTTCTGAAGACGTAAATCTTTATAAAACATCTCACAAATATATAGTTTCCTTTAAAAAAAACAAAAAACAACTCAGTAATTCCCTAAAACAGCTGTTTGCTGTAGTTTTTCAAACAAATAATAAGGAAGTTAATGGTAAGGAAGGAAGATGTCACAGTGTAGCTCACTGGTGTGTTTTTAACAACAGCGGCGCTCTGTGGCACCATTGTCGCACAATGTTTGTTAGTAGATACCCTCATTGCTGGTTCCGGTCTGCACTTGGGATTTGTTGAAAAGAAGAAAAACATACAACATCACCAGACTTATACTTCTTATAACAGTCCAAAACACATAAATCAATGATATCAGACAACATCCTCACAGCGGAGAGGCCCTAGGGTGGTCCCGTCTGAAATTCATTCATGGTCCTTAGAGGTTGAGTCCTACTGACCCTGGCGCCTCTGGCGCCACCATCAGGTTCGCATTTATGGTTTTTAGTGAAATATATTAACAGCTGTTGGATGGATTACCATGACATTAGCTGAGCACGTTCATGTTCCCCTCAGGATGAATTGTAATAACTGTACTGATCCTGGAACCTTTTCCTCTAGCGCCATCATCAGGTCAAAATTGCAGTTTGTCTAATACTTCGGTTTACCTGCCAAATGACTGTATGTTAGCAATGCTAAAATGTTAAAGCTACTGAATGTCAGTAAGTTTGCCTCATCATTGTGACCATGTTAGCATTTAGCTTCACTGTGCAATCACAAGCATGACTGTAAAGTCTGGTTGCATGATTAATGACTTAAACCAGTGACTATTAAAATTGTTACTGATTAACAATCCATTGATGACTAATTAATCACTTCGTCAGTAGTTTAACTGGTGTCTAATAATCAGAGTGAGCTCTTAATCATCTCAGTTATTTCAGAAACCAACTAATTAAACAAACTGATCAAATCGATTAGCATCTGGACAACGGAGGCACGTGAAGCATTTTAAGTGCAAAATTTAAGGTGAGGATGAACTTTTGATCCCAGCACACACAGTTGGATCTGTTACCAGGGTTCTGGGTAGGCGTTGTCTCAGTAATTTGAAGCTCAGTCGACTGCCGTAGACAAGGAATCCAATGAAGAGACAGCCAAGTACGCTGCACGCACCCAGCAGGCAGTAGACCACATACACTGAAACAGGAGGACAGCAACATATCAGATTCCCAAACTCTGGAACATTAGAAATCCCCATACATGTCGAAAGACTGAAAATTAAATTAGCTAATTCAGCACATTAATATGAGGATGTTAGAAAACAACACTGACATCTGGCAGATGTTTGTGGTCAAGTTTCAGAATAAAAACTAAATCCAAGTTCTTGCACATGTACATCTGCATGAGGAACTGTTAAAATTCAAATGAAGTTCCCCTTTCAGCCTTCAAGTCAGGAGCAACAAACAGTGGGGAGCACCAGCAGCCTGTTCAAACACATCTCCAGTTTAAAGAAATCAGGCCTTCTAACGTTTGGTGTTAGACTACTTTAGTTGTAGAAAAGCTTTGCTCAGAGTGAGAGTAGTAAAGCTATGCTAGGAAGTCACTAAAGTCCCTGTACTATTACAAATACTAAAGTCACCTCGCCCTAGCAGGTGTAACAACACTAACAGGAGAGTGAGGAGGACGTTAATTGAACACACACAGACCTTGGAAGAGTTCTATCCAGGCAGCATGAGTGAAAACACCTGCGTAAGGTGAGCCCTCTGTTTTGTAAATGTCAAATAAAGGCGACATCATCAGAAAAATGAGATTTAAAAAATAAATCTAAATCTATTGCGTGTCAGTAAACTGGCTCTTCTCTTTGTTAACATGAAACTAGTCAGTGGTTTAAACTTTCTTGTCTTTGTACGCAGAGAGATGATAATGAAATAACACATTTATGACAGCAAAGTGATAAAACATGAATTTAAGTCTCAGTGTATTTAACCTCGCTGCTGTGGATAATGTGACAACCTTTAATTAACACTTGTTCCCTGTTAGATCTGTTACAGCTTAATTATTCTGCCTTTGTGACTTTTACAGACTGTAAAAGCAACTGCAACGTATTGCAGCCACCATGAAAGAAATATAGTTGCTTTATTTGATGTTATATTTTTGTGTTTTTCATTAAAACAAGAAAAACTGTTGTTATAACATGATTCTTGTTAAAACTGAATAATTAGCTGTAAAATAAAATGATGTGACTACAACATGAAAAGATCTTATTAAAAGGTGAAAATGTTCTTGTTACAATAAAAAAAACTGAGCAAATGTATCTTACCAACAACTACCATCACATTTTCATAATAAGGTGCATGTAATGTATCAAAAGGTCTTCAGCTAGTGGTGAAGTAATGTCTTGATGGCTTTGTCTCGTCCCCAAAATGAACAGATCTAAGTTAATTGAGTGTTTTTGTAAAAGCTGTGACGTACGTGAGCTTGAGTGCGAAGGAGGGCTGGTGAAGGCACAGTAGGGTTTACTGGAGACGCTGTTGGACCCGAAGAATGTAGGCCTATTTACAGAGACGCTCACGCAGTACTCCACGCCTGGCTGCAGGTACGCGATCACAATCTCCTCTTCGTAGTGCACATTCAGTCTGAACTGCAACACAACAGACAAACAGGGTGATAAACATGGAAAACTCATCACTCTGTGTCCTTTGTCCAGGGACAGACCTGCTGCATGTGACCCACTTTGTGTACATGTGAAGCAAATAAATTAGTTTTTCAGATTTGGTGCAGTGTTTAAAACACAATATTCAGAAAAACTGCCCCACTGCAAGCCTCTGCGTCAGTATTGTTAGACTTCTACATTTTCTAGAACAGATGACCTACTCCAGTGGTTCCCAACCTGGGGGTACGGTCCCCCACTAGTGGTCACCAAAGCTTCACGAGGGGTTGCAAGACCTTCTTGATTTTAAGGGGTGTAAGAAAAATTCAAAATTGCACACAGCAGGCCTATATCTCAGCATTTTGTTCATTTCTGTGAAGAAAACTATATGAATTGTTATTTTAAAAATGTAGACTATTATTTAAGATCTAAACTTTGAAGACTTGAACACAAGCTACATTCACAAAGAAAAGACGGAATTTGTTGCTAAAATATGAGGAAAACTCATCTCTGAGGCAATATTCACCAGAAATAATCCTAATAACAATCTGCTCATAATCCATCCAAATCACTCGTTTCACACAAACTCCATAAGACATGTCACTTCGTCAGGGGTGGTCAGTTTAGGCAATAAAAAGGTTGGGAACCACTGACCTACACCGTACCACTTCAAAAAAAAAATTGGGAGAGAAACGAAGAAAGAAAGAAAAAGATGGGGAAAATGGGAAAGATCTGTAATAAATAGTGTATGTTATTATTTTCAACACAGAACATCACGAGTTAACACCTGCAGTTATTTTGTGGTGACACACAAAACTGAAAATAAAAGGAACTAAATATTCAAAGCAATCTGTGTACTGCTGCATGAGAAAAAGGAAATGCTAATGGAAATATTATATAACAACAGAGGGCAGCTAGAGTTGCACAAGGGCACTGTATGATCTCCACCACGTTCAGTGAGCGCGTGTGAGAAAGAGAAAAGGTGGAGATGAGAGGGAGCTCATCGAAGGACCAGTGTGTCGGATATAGTGGTGAGGTTGCAGACTACAACCAACTATGGTGGCTGGGGTTCTGAGTTGATTCTATGTACACGAATAAATGATAAACAAAATCAAACAAAACAAAGGAAGTTCTATGAAATTTGGTCTCATGTTTCAATTTATATTAAAAAAAATAAGCAGATATTCCTACTTTTATTGTGAAAACGTTCCACATTTCTGTTGTGTTCATGTCGTATTTTATTTACTTTTTGTGCCCAGATGTGTTCTTTGTCTTTATGTGTTGTAAAAGTTCCTAAAAAGACTTCCTGCGGTTGTTTCTTTGTTCTTCCTATGTTCAGCTGTCAGTGCTCGCAGTAACCAGTTTCCAAAGAAATTCTCATTTAAGTGAAACGGACACTTCCTGTGTCACAGTACTATACTTTTCCCAAGAAGCAGCGACCACACACCAGGTGCTGAACACCAAAATGTCGCTTTACAGCTGGCGGAGGGAAACAGGAAGTGCATTCAGTCACTTTCTCCAGCAATGGTTTAGCCTCTGATCGCCTCCTGTCACATTGGTGTACTGTCACTGAATGTTGAAACGCGGGGCGAGGAGATTACAGATGTGAAGATTAATTCCTTTTTCTTCTTCTCATCAGGCCGATCGTTTCCTCGAACACAAGCAAACGCGAGCTGATGAGAGGAAGACGTGGGTTAAACCGCACACTCTGACAAACATCAGTCGAGAGGGAACCTGCCGCCTCTGTGAGACACAGATAAGCCTACACGTGTGTTTTGTTCAATTTTCTGATCGACCTCTCGGGAGATAAAGAACTGCTTTGTGGGTTTGCTGTTTTGATTTCTCGGTATTCCACATTTCAGTTTCATCTAAACACAACCAGAAATAAAACATCCTGAAAGACACATAGAAAAGTATAGAAGTATATATTCACGTTATCTTATGAGGTGGGATGATAACTGGCACAGGGACCGAATCATGGAACCTCTGCTGTGTTTCTATCACATGAATCTCCGTAACTAACAGCACAATAACTATACACTATCTTAATTAGACTCCACAAAAATACATGCTCTGGGCTTCGCCATCTTGGCGCCATCGATAAATGGGCAGAGATGTGAAGCGTGGGCGGAGCTGAGGCAGGCCAAATGGCGCATGTGACGGCACCCACCTGTCACTCAAAGTTGCCACACTCTTAAGCCTTAATATAATTTAAACAGGTGAGTTGTATAACCCCCCTGTACATTTGTCATGAACGGGACTTTAACTAGAGAGGCCAAACCCGTTTTATGTACCAGGCCGTAAACAGGTTTATTTCTGCTGTAAAGTTGGGCATTTTAATATGGGGTCTTATGGAGATTGACTCACTTCTGGAGCCAGCCTCTAGTGGCGATTTGAGGAACTGTTAGTTGTGGGCGGGATTGGAAATCATCTGCTTCATTTTCTGCCATTTATACTCCTCATACATGTCTACATTTAATGAATGATACAATAAAATGACATTTTAATCTTGGAACTAAATGGATCCAATAATGATGATCCTGCTCCTCTCGTACAGCTCTCAAGAACAAAGAAACTGTGAGTTAAAAGCATGATAAACGCACGACTCGCTCTCTGAGAGTGGGGACTGATACCACTTAAAGTCTTCACTTCCGGCGACAACAATATCTCAGAAAAATAACTACCAGCTTGCATCCCCGAGTCGAGCCAAAACAAAAACAACCATGTACAAAGCCACACTGCGGGGACGGAAGGCAATAACCTCTTTGTGGCAGGAAACAACAGGGGAAAAAAGTTTGTGGGACTTCTTATAGCTTTATAATTAATTCATCATAACATATCATACGTAATGATGTGTAAACTTATCATGTAGCTATAGTCCAACAAGTTGTGTGATATGTAAGTAATGATACACAAGGGGGTGTCCTAGATTCTTTTTGTTTCATTTATCTAGTCTATAATTGTAACAAAAATGCAGAACAATTTAGTTTTGATATAAAAATACAAAGAAATTTGGCATAAATTGTTAATTAGGGGTACAGTATGACTGAGGGTGCAATCTTAAAGGCTTGAAAAGTAATTTCAACTGGACTTGACCCATAACGAATATATAAAAATATTGATTAGTGCAGCTTTAAGGCTGCCACATACCTCCGCACCATCCCTGGTCCTTTGCACATGTAAGATCAAGTCTCTGTAGAGGTCCTGGAGCTGCTGGGTCATCCTTGGAGGAATTTTGAGCTGCAGGAGCAAACAGTTCCCACACCCTGACACGGACACATCGGGAGGTCCCAACACAGCTACAGGGAGAAATAAAGACACTTTCAGAAGAGATTTGTTGCATAATATTAATAATCATAATAATAATCATACAAAAATGCAAAGAAAACACTTCCATGTTCACTCCATGTCCAACTACACTGCATATCCCATGTGTATATGGAGCAGTATCTTTGGCTTCGTCTACCTTGAACAACATGTTATGACAGTTTAAAAAAAAAACTATAAATATATATATATCTTTTTTAAACTGTCATCATATACAATTAAAATGAAAACACAACTGTATATTTAAAATAAATGTGTGCAAACGGGAAGAAAAGAGCAGGTTTTGTACATTCATTTCACAAAGATGATGTAAAATAATGATGTACAAATGTGTAGAAGCAGTAGAAACTGCTTGATTGTTGAAGTGGCCCTCCTATATATGACAATACCATCAGTGCCGAGCCCATTTGAGTTTGAGACCCCTGATTTAGAGCGAGCCACAATAATGGACTAATCTTTCAGACAGAAATGGCTTTGTCACATTTATAATAAGTGTTCAGTAGAGAAAACAACCACGATTTAGGTTTCATAATGAAGAGTTAAGTGTACTTATATGTGATAAAATATACAAAAAAATACAAGTTTGACATACTGTGAACAAACCTCACCACTCACACACCAATATCACTCCTAACCTGACCACATCCACTGATCATTTCTGATGTTCAACAGTGTAGAAACTCAATGTAGAACAAAAATGACATCAGTAACACTGCAGGAAGGCAGAAAATGAAACTTATGTCCATCAATCTGTTGCCCCAGTGCACCCTGGGAGGGTTCTCAACACACATACCTCATGTACTTGCAATCACATGATCAGCACTCAGCCAATCATACTCGGATGGCACATTGTTACTTAAGTTAACTTCATCCAGGATAACTAAAATAAATCTTTAAATGAGCTGGATGAGTATAAACAGGATTACGGACTGGGTCAGAAATAGGTGTGTTGGTGTCTCACTGTCTGTTAGAGGGTAGAAATCCCGCGACATCGTCCAGTAGGATGTCTGGTTGGGTGCGATGGCCCTGACGCGGGCTCTGTAGCTTTTTAACGGGTCCTTGAACGTTCGGGTTAGATTGCACGTCTGTCTGGCCGTCAGCGCCGAACAACTAACCACCGGTTTCCACAAGTTCTTCCTCCAAGGGGAAAGAAAACAGAAAGAAAGGCTGATGATCACCCAAGACAACTGCTGAAAATTGACTCTCCTAATGGCAGGGGAAGGTCAATGCAAAGGAGGGAGGGAAAACATGTTAGCACAGATAACATACACAGCTGAACAAAAAGGCAACTTACTGGGCGGTGTGCGTCATCTTGATGGGGGAAAACACATTTGTTATGAACTGAGTACACTCATAGGCAAAGTGCTTACTCAAAGGGTTCACAAGGGCTTCAGAATCAAAAATGAAACACAACATGCCGTGCAGGGGAAAACAGGAGCTAAAGCAATCGGTGGCGACAGTAAACCAGCGTGTCAGCTCAGTGCAGCTGTTTGAACGATGAATGACTGGCAGAGCCTCAGTTCCAGCCCCAACAGGTTTGCAGTCTCGTTGTAGACAGGTAAAGCTAACATTTGTTAGTTGTGTTTGTATGTGGGATTGGGATTTGTTCCCAGTGCTGCAAGACCGAACACACATGATGAATGTGTGAGATGGGGTCAGGAGGGAAGCATCGTCATCAGGGAATTTCTGATGTGAAATGTGAGAAGAGATTTCTTGTCGGCTCTACAGACAGCGATGTCCACCTCTTTGATACAGAGAGAAATATCTCAACGACTGGATGGAAATGAAATTTCATACAGGCATTCATGTTCTCCAGAGGGTTAATCGGAATGACCTTTCTTGTAGCGCCACCAACAGATACACTTTTCCAGTGAAATATGTCAACAACCTTTTGATGGATTTTCATGAAATCTGGTTCAGACATTCATGTTCCCCTCAGGATGAACTGTACTAAGTAGTTTTTAGTGATCCTCTGACTTTTCTTTTAGTGCTGTCATATGCGTTTTGCCAAACTAATGAGATTCCCATCAACCTCATTTGTACGTTTGGTGCTTATTAGCAAATAGTAGGTAAACTTGAGAGGTAGCTGGACTCGCGGGTATCACGAAGAGTTATCACAAGAATTACTGCCAGCTACGCTACGGCATGAGCTGCGGGTGTGGTTCACTGCTAGGTGTGTGTGACGGCTGCGTACATAGAGGTCAACCTATCGTGACATCACCTTTTGGTTTGTGGAATACCGTTTTGAAGCCATTGGAGCTCCCCCTGCTGGCCATTACATAGAATGCTGGTTTAAGACACTTCACAGACCCGGACTCTGTCCATTATATATACTGTCAATGGTTCCTTTGTATCATGGACGAGAGGCTCGTGTCAGTGCAGGCTGTAAACATTAATGCTGTCCTCCGTGGCAAGTTTGCCAGCCCACCTAGCACCACTGAGATAGCTAACCTTAGGCTCCGGTTAGCAGCTGTAGTTAGGGAGAAAGAAAATAATTCCTACATGAAACTGCTCACAACTTCTCAGTAACTAACTAACAAGAGTAACTTCCCGGTCATGATGTCTGGAAAGAGACGTTGCCGCTATTTTTTGGCGCTTTAAGCACGGAATGCCGTCTGGTTCCATAATGCTGGAGAGAAAGCGGACATTTCTACGGCCAACAACTCCAAAACTCGCCATCTCACACTGAAACAATCTAAATGAATAAATAGCGCTATGGGTAAGAGGGAAAATGGTTTTTTTTAGAACTGCGATGAGCCCCCTAAGAGGTTTGAGTCTTGGATGGCTTAAATAAATGACAATAAAGTTATCTACAGTCATACATATAGGCAGCCTGTGGCACCAGAGCTGCATGTGTTTCTTTCATTTTCATTTAACATTTTTATAAATCTGAAGTGATTCTTATATCCTATGGTTGTAAAAATGTGTAGCCATTACACACAGAATAAAAACTATATGTTTTACTTTCTGTCAACTAAAATGTGCATCATGTCCTGACCTGGCGCCTTTCTGCTGTATTGTATATATATATATATATATATTATATAACATCAGCAGCTAATTTAGGCTAGCTCTGGATGCCAAATTCAAAAAGTCTCTTTTTTGGGAGGCCAATATGGCTCCTCTGATTGTAAAAGATTGCTGACCAATGGCCTACATGAAATAAAAGTCATTCCAATTAACTGCCTTTGGAGTGATGCCAGACAACAGTGAGTCAAGCCTGTGCTCAAAGTTCCTGGAAGCAAACATCATTGTGATAATGTTAAGTCTCATTTTGTGGTTTTTCCATTTAACCCCCCCCCCCAAAAAAAAATCAGTGCATCTGTCTGCAAGTGTTGCTTTTCTGGTAACTCAGTAGGTTTAAGAGCAAACAAATATTGATCCTGAGTCCTGCCTGTCACCTCTCTCATTTATGTCCTCTCTACACAAAGATTTCAACTGAATACCTGAAGCTGAAGACTTCAACAGAGAAGCGGGCGCTGGAGGGGGTCCCGGGGCCTGGCAGGAAGCTGAGTGTGTGCTCCATGTTGAAGGAGGAAATTGAGACGTTGGAGGGTGCGGGGAGGGAATCACACACCACTGCAGAGGAGGACAGAATGACAATATTAACTCTGAAATTTAAAGCACAGTGAGATTACTTGAATTTTCAATGATTTTATCTGCTCTCTCTTCTTACCTTGCATCCACACATTGCTAAATCTACAGACAAACATTTCCTGTGCATTAACAAACTTTCCAACTAAACAGAATTACTTTGCTTTTACTGCTGCTGTCAACATCTTCACACACCTTGCCACAATATAAGTTAAAATCTGAGTCCAAAGGTGTAAAAACAAAGACCTGGAGCTCATTAAAACACATATACACAAATACTAATAAAACCCCAAAACGTAACAAAAACACACATTCTCATATTCACCATTTAAACCTTCCACTTCCTCCCCACATTCAATCCAGGGAGCATTACCAAGGTGTAAATGCAGAAGAAGAAGCATCCACAACCCCATCTTCCCCCCCATGGACTGTGTTATGGCTCGCAGGTTAAACACTGTATGCAAGATGATAAGGCTCTTGTTTTTAACATATAGAGAGGGATGGGAGGGAGGGAGGGAGCTGGGGGTTTGTGTGGGGGTTGGGAAACGAACACACAGTTTGTTATCATGTTCATGGTTGAGTTTCTATTTCCCCAGAAGTCCCTCCCTGTGCATTCTGCCCTTCAAATCCTGCATTTAACTGAGAGACGTCGCAGTGGCAGAAAGTGGAGTCAGCAAACGTGACTTTTTACCCTGTTTTCTGATCTGTGTGAGTTTTATTTTTATGCTGTTTATGTGTAAATATATTTGTCTGTGCTTTGGGGGAGTTAGCTTGAAGAATGTGTACACAGGGAAGCCTTTACATTAATACAAATGACAAAACATTGACATGTCAAATGTAACTTTATTGGTTGTGATTTGCAAAGTGAAATACATGTTTATGGACTGAACACTAATGAACATGAGCAGCAGAATAGCTTGACACTGAGTTACAGAATGGCTTTAACATTGAGTATAAAAATACAGAAATGTCACATGTACGGAATCTGTTTGATTAAATTGTTTAAATAAAGTTATAACTAGCAATAATACATGTTTTACTTCAATAACCTGATGCAATGTGTAACTTTGAATAAGTGTAATGTTAATATGACTGTACATTGAACATGACATGGTAATAAAAATATGTATAACATGATAAGCTTTCTCATACGGTGACAATTCATACATGATTATCAGGTTCACAGTTTACAAGAATAAATGATGTAAAACAAATTAAAACACACAGAATGACCTTGACAATGTGAGCTAGAGTCCAAATTAAAACCAGCATTTTACATGATATTTTCTACTATCATCTTTAAAAACTGCACTTTCAGAGGTTAAATGGTGCTCAAACATGGTGCTGTCAGACTTGATCCTCACTGGCCTTGATTTTTGGGCAAAATTGTCTTGTTTTATACGACCAACTCCATCAGAACCCCCCAGAAAATTCACTTTAGTATCTTATGAGACACATTTGAGAAGCTTGGAGCGGCAAACATTTGGCAGGTTTTGAATGAGAAATGACTCAAAAGAAGATATCAAAAATGTTTGCTGATTCCTTTTCCGCTTCAGTTTCAGCTCTCATTATAGCCTCATTACATATTCAGAACAAATTGAAAACAGTTAAAGGTCCAGTGTGGGGGATTTAGTGCCATCTACTGGTGAAGCTGCAGAACAACAACCAACAGAAACCTCTTGAACTCCGAGCGTGTAGGAGAAACTACGATGGTGTAGTCAGTGTTTGGTTTTGTCCGTTCTGGGCTACTGTAGAGACATGGCAGTTCAACATGGCGGTCTCTGTAGAAGAGGACCAGCTCTGCAGATAAAAACCATCTCTTTTGAAGGTAACATCTTATTTTCAGGTGATTATACACTAATGAAACCGTACCCACAAATGTTAGATTCCATTTCTGCCAATAGTTCCTCCTGATTGTTACACACTGGACCTTTAACTCTCTAATAACAACACATAAAAATGCCTTTTTAAAATAAATACAGTAATCATTATGTGGAGCTTTTTTTTGTCCTAAGCTGTTTTCATAAAGTCAGTTCCCATGCGGAGGGAGAATATCTCAAGTGTAAATTCTTCCTGAAGAGGCTCTCCAACTGTTCATCGGTCAGTGATTTTCAGAACAATATGACACTGAACCTGATGAAGTTGAATGATCTCCAAATGTTCTATCAAACAACAACTAAAATAAAATCCAGGGATGTAAAGTTATTGGCTGTTTTGGGTGGATTTTGCCTAAAATTCCCAAAGGAAACGCCCTGAATATGCTGTTCCCTTATGAAGTAGTCCTCTAGCTGCAGATCAATCCTCATATGTAAGCCCACAGGTTTCCAACATCAGTCCAATCATGGTTTGTGGTGTTTGGGTAACTTTTGTGGAACTCTAAAGAGGTAACTGGTGGGTCCTTCTGGCTGCAGAGAAAGCACTGATGTATAATGATTCACAGTATATGGAGAAGAAGGCGATGGGCCTCATGCAAGAACATCATAATACTGTATTTTTATCTAAAACTTTTTTTTCTTTTTTAATCGATAAAAGCCCCCTGTTCACGGGGACACGTCACGGACACTGACACTTGTAGAGCCTGACCCACATGGGGTTTGTGAGACGGATATTGATTTCAGAGGGCAAACATTCACTGTTCAGAGATGCGGTGGAAAATACAGTGAATAAAAATAGACCTTTTCAATGTGGATTTTATATTTAAATGACTATACAAAGGTCTTCAGAAGGCTGCTTTCTGCAACAATACTCTAACATGTTAAAGGATTTAACAGACTGTCAAACAATTCTAGTTGACATTGCTGAGAGCTGCTTCTTCTCTCATGGTGCAGACAAACAGATGTCTGCTCCATTACTCTGTGCTGCCTTCCACAGTTTTATAAATCACAGCGCGCTCTGCTGGATAAACTCTGCAGTGACACCAATATATTACCACAATATACCATTTCATATCAGCGGATATATCAGATAACACAACATACAACACTGATACATCTATGATCAATTGGACTCTAGTAAAAGTGTGAGTTTTCCACTGTGGGGGCTTTTAGCTGTGGTCAATCTTTAATATTCATATTGGCCCGGTCTGGGCCACAAAAATACTAAATACGAGAAGACTCTTGTGGTTAAATGGTTCTTGCATGAGGCCCAATTGTTATCTATAAAATGAGACTTTGTAACAGAAACAATCAGAAATGATTCAAGTTTGAACCTAAACTGTCATTTTAGTTGAAGAATCAAACATTATCACCTCAGTCTGTACTTTAGTTGTCCGTCCTGTAATGAGATTTACTTATAATCGGAGTTTTCAGTGTCTAGACTCAACCAATGGAAATGCCTTTAGACCAGTGCTGCTGTGTGTGCGACGCTCCGTCACTGGTGTTTAACACATTGTGAAATTGTAAGAAAAAAAAAAAAAAAACGGAGAAACTCTCCCAAGAATTCTATAGTAAGTTTTGTAAGACATGTGTACTGGGACGCCCCATATATCCACAGTAATCTTCTTCCTCTTCCTCCTCCTCCTCCTCCTCCTCAACAGAGCAGGAAACAGTTTCTATTGCACCTTCCTCGCTGTCACTTGTTTGTACAGGCAGGATTGGAGTGGTGTGCACCTCTGAAGCAGAGGGAGACGCAACGTGCAATTTGTCCTCCTCTTTCTCCTCCTCTTCCTGATGCGTGCCAAAGGTCAATGTGAGGAGATTCACGTTATGGCTGCTCCCCTCTACCACCACAACCACCTCCTCCTGCTCCTCTTTATTCAGCAACCTCTCTGCAGGAGGATCTGAAGCACGCTGCTCTGGTCCTGGCAGAGAATCGGGCTGAGGGTCGACAGAGTCTGACGTTTGGTCCGAGGAGGAGCTCGGCTTGGGTTCGGGCTCGGGGGACAGGGGAGCTGAGAGCGACGTGGAAGAGGAAGAGGAGGAAGAGAGGAGGTTTGTGCCCACCCGCAGTTTATACTGTCCTCCGGTGCTCTCTATCTCACTCTCCTCGTCGCTCTCGTCTGATGAATGGCTGCTCCTCTTTTCGCCTGAAGGGGGCGGCGTTGGTTTAAGATTCAAGAGGGAAGACAAGGACCCGCTGAAGGGTTTAAAGACCAGGACCTCGTTTAAGTGGTGGATGGATGCCTGAGACACAGAGAGAGAGAGAGAGAGAGAGAGAGAGAGAGAGAGAGAGAGAGAGAGAGAGAGAGAGAGAGAGAGAGAGAGAGAGAGAGAGAGAGAGAGAGAGATTGAGATTTAATTTACCATCAATAATCATATAATTGAACCTACCTTGGTATAACCATAACAGCATCAGGGAGTTTCAACATGGCAGTGAATGCACTAAAAGAAAAAGCTCGAAGAGCTCTATATGCAATTAAGAGAAACTTTTATAATTTCCATATTCTAATAAAAATCCCATTGCCCATTGCGCTGTACGGTAGTGAAGTATGGGGTCCACTCAGTCATCAGAGCTTTACCCGTTGGGACAAACATCCAACAGAATCTCTACATGCAGAATTCTGCAGATACATTTCACACGTACACAGAAACCCACCAACAAATGCTATTGAGCAGAATTAGGCAGATACCCACTGATAATTAACATTCAGAAGAGAACGCTCAACTTTTTTAACCACCTGAAATCCAGCCCCAGAGACACAGTCCACTCCAAAGCCCTCCAAACCCAAGAGCTGAGCCCAGAAAAGAGTCCCCTATGTCAGTTGGTACTGAGGCTAACTGCCCCCTCTCAGACACACTCTGACCAGCCTCACAACAACACTGCTCTACAAACAGTAATCAGAGTAAAGCAAATTACAGCACAATGTAAAGAAAGCTATCTGGACCATTGGGAAGAAACAACTAAAAGCCAAAGTAGATTGGAATGTTATCTTGCCCTTAAAAGAGATTATGAATGAGCAGAATATCTCTCTACTGTCAGAGATAGAAAGCAGAGACAGATCCTAACCAAGTACAGGCTCAGTGACCACAAACCGCCAATCCAAACAGGAAGACACAAAAAATCATGGCAACCAAAAGAAAACAGAAAATGTGGTCACCGTTCGACAGGTGAGGTTGAGACAGAGATGCACTTTCTCCTACAATGTACAAAATTAAATGATATGAGAAAAATTGATTTGAACAAGTTCAGCTTTTTGGTTCCAGATTTCAAAGAGCTGAACGACCTCTCCAAATTAAAAATACTCCTCGGAGAAGGAGAGAGGGCACACCTTGCTGCCCTGTATGTATTAACATGCCACAACCTGAGGGACAGTGAGTGATCGAGGCACACACACACACAGACACGCACACACAGACACACAGAGACACACACACACACACACACAGTATATAACTAATATAATGTTCATACTGTTTATATCTTTGATTTATTGTATTGTATTTGAATGCTTTGCTTTGGCAATATTGTTTAAAAAAAAAACTTTAATGCCAATAAAGCCCATTTTGAATTGAATTGAATTGAATTGAGAGAGAGAGAGAGAGAGAGAGAGAGAGAGAGAGAGAGAGAGAGAGAAGGAAAGATGTTATGGTTTTTAGCAGATATTCAACAACTGAAAACAATTCATTCCATTAATCCATCAGTCAGTGGAAAAAGAATCAGTAACCTTTAAGCCCTTTATTAACTGACTGAACATTTCCTGGTTACAACTCCTCAACTGCTCCTTTCCTCTATTTTAAATGTCACATTAAGTTTAAACTGAAACTAATATATTTTAAGGTGTATTTTGGGATATTGTGCAATGTATTCTATAGATATTTACAGTTATTTGTTGTGATTATTTTCTTTTAATATATATTTCTGTCAACTTACTGGTGTAAAAAAGAATTTCCAAATGTGGGATCAATAAAGTAAGTTCATCCATCCAGAGCCACATAATAATCCCTTTTTCTGAAAGCAGTCTCAAACTGACTCTATTTACTGTGTCTTTTGCAGTTGTGACCAAGACCAGTTAGACTGGAGGAACAAAATGAATAGGCCAGGTTTTCCTTAATGTTTAAGCAGTTTAAACTCTGAATGCATCACAACAGGAACAGCAGCAGGGGTTCTGGGTTTAGATTAAGAGCGGATGCTTAGCTGCCATTAAAGCCCGGCCTCAACTTATCGGACTGTCGACAGTCGTTCACATGAAACTGTGTATTTTCTATGTGCTATCAGGCAAATCCGCATATTTCCCACCAGTGGAAATGTTGCTGAATCATATGAAGTGAACAAGGGAAGTTTCCACCGAGTTCTGGGTGCGCAACGCTGTTTTTGAAAAGAAACAGTTGGCAAGCAACCAAAAACCCTCAAGTCCCCTCCAAATTTCACATAGAATTCATTGGCCACATACACGTCCTGTACGAGGGGAAACCCCCTCTGCATCTCGCTGTCACTCTGGTTGCCTTAAGGCAATTAATAACTGAACATGAAACCGCATCTAATTTAAAAAAAAAGCGTGCCCAAATCCCCCTCGCATGAGACAAACAGCACAGACAATAAAAAGGTTAACTGTAACCGACGCCCACGCAGGCAACACTTCTTCAATCCCAGCATGCTGTAATAAAACAAAGCCAGTGACTGATATGAATTCAAGGTTTCAAAAGCTATGGATGACACCAACCGAATAATGGGCTCATTTTAGAAAATGTCAACCCCGGTTTTTTCTCCCACGTTCACATGATCAGTGCTGCAGTCCTTCAGTAAGTGATCTGAACACGGCAGCCTCGTTTAATGAGGTCTTGTATAAAAATAACCATTAATGCTTTATACCTGTGTCTTTAAGCAGCAAAACCCCCACTATGTTTAGTTTTTAACACATAAACTGCTTGAACTGAAGCCATCCTGAAGCCTTTGACCTAACAGAAGAGCTATGTGGTGACTGCAGCAGTGGTGCAGTGACACCCTGGTAGCAGGGTTGTTTCCGTTGCAAAGTGTTGTGCAAAAATATTTCTGCCAATCAAACACTTTCCAAAACTCTGCCTGGTTTTTCTTTAGGACTAAAGACTCTCGAAATCCGGGCCGCAAACAGGCTTTCCGTTGATTTAATTTATGTTTTATGAGATGCTAGTTCAATTTACTCCTGTAAATGTAATGTTTTTATGGCTTTTAGGTTTTTTTGTGTGTTAAATGTGTTCTCTGTTATCGTAAAGAACTTTGTAACTGTGTTGTGGTGCTATATAAATAAAGTTTATTATTATTACTTTTTGTGAAATTTTACCAATGAAAACTGTTACCAGCTGTGTTTTAGAAACTGTAAATGTATACAGAGACAGGTGACGGCGGTGGCGAGAGGTTGGTTGACGAAACGTTTTGTGATTCAGAAACAGAAAATATCTTTATGTTTAAATTGTAAAAATGAAAGAGTATTTCTAATCTGATACATAAGCCTTGCAGTGCTGTATGTTGGCACTACACTAAGGATAAGTACCTCATACAACCCCACTTTAAAATATTTGAAATATTCCTTTAAATAAGCTGTCTTTTGGAAAGATATTCTGAATGGTTTATTTGAAAGAATACAGAATTGATTTACTTGTATTGACAAATAGAAATACATCCTATTTTTCCCATTGACAGGTTAAGATGAAAAAAAATATATATTTGTGAGGGAATAATGTAAAAACGTTGATGCGACGATTAATCGGCTATTTGTCGACTATTTTGAAAATCAATTAATCGGTTTGAGTGATTTTTTTAAGACCTGGGGCCTCATGTACTAAGACTTGCGTGGATTTCCTACTAGAATGTGGCGTACACTGAAAGAGTGAAAGTACCGTACGCAAAAAAAATTCAGATGTATCAAAACGTGCGTATGCAGAATCCCACTCACATTGTCTTTGTACATCGCAATCAACGTGAAATTGAGCGCACATGCACGAGGACAACGCTCCACCCTGTCCCCTCCCTCAAATACACCGATTTGAATATGCTAATTAGTATAAATAGGCCTGGATAGGAAAATGGCAAAAGCCAGGAGAAAAAGAAAGTTTACAGAGTATGAATTGGAGGTGCTGCTGACAGATGTAGAGCCCAAAAAATATATACATATTTTGCGTGGCACAGGCAGTACACTCGGTAGGGTCGGAAAACCGCACCGCATATAAGACATATCTACCCATCGCCAGGGCCTTAAGGCCACAGGTGGTGGAGTCCCTGTATTACGGTAGACTGATATACTGTACTGCTGTATTGTGAAAAGGTTACGGTACGCACAAGACGTGGCGTCACCACGCTCCCAGTGAGCACTAGTTGTTGTTGTGTGTGAGCCATGCTGATGAGACGGCGGCACATCGGTCCGCACTTCATTGTCAACTGTTAAATAAATATGCCAAGAGGCTGAAGATAATAATTCGAGTGTGTTCTACTTATCCTCCATACGCAGTAGAGGACTGCGCGCTGCAGTAAATAACCCCTTAACACAAATAATCTGCAAATGATTAAAATTGTATAATTGCTTGATTGATTGCAAATAATAATGACTTTCGCATACAGTGCAACTGTCCCTAGAGCAATTATTAATTTCGGCTATGCAATTTCAATGCATCGACTGTGAGTGTCGCCAACTGACAACTGACATAAGCAAAAAATATGTACGTACGGCAGCAATGAAGCTGCCATGGAGGACCGCACATTCTCACGTTCATTTCACTTTTAGTACATCCGAACGTGAAAAAAGGCGTATGCACGAATGTCTAAATTCTCTGTTTTCAGCCTCTAAAATGTGAATATCTTCTGGTTTATTCAGTTTTGTGTGACAGTAAACTGAATATCTTTAAGTTGTGGACAAAAAGAAGACATTTGAGAACATCACCTCGGGAAACACTGATCTACACTGTTCAATGTTTTCATCAAGAAAAGACTTATTCATTGATACTGAAAATAAGCCTTATAATGTATCTGTTTTTATGGTTGAAGAGGTTTTCTTATAGTTCCTGTAGCATTCTTTAAGAAAAAGATGATTGTAAAGTTATTAACTGGTATCTGTGTTCATACTGGGGAAGAGCTATGCAACGTGTTTTGACTTTCATGCCGAACACTGATCAAATAGTCACACATAGAGTATTTCCCTTCACTTTTTCTTTTGCCTTGCATTGACTGAACGTTTGCTGTGCCCACTAACATCTACACCCCCGCTGACAGCTCAGTCCAGTCTCATCTGAGAAGACAAACTAAGAACATCGAGCATGCTGCAGCAGAACCAACAGTGAGGTTGCCTGCAACTGTCTGCCTTTGTCTCTTTTTCTTCTTAAACCACCGATAAACCACAACCATGGCACACTACAGTTATGTGTAGAGGGTGTGCGTTTTGCCTCGGGCTTGTTTTGTTTCCGCCTGCAGTTATTTCCTGTTACTTTACTCAGAAAAAGTGTGTGAGCTGCTGTCAAACCACAAATAATTTTGTTAATAGTTTTATTGTACGTATTAACGGCAAACTTGATCATGTTCAGTTACTTTGATCACAACAGAGCTTTGATTGTACAATCTTATCTGTTTGCACTCTATAGGATTTAGTCATTTTGCCTCAACACATCGCACTACAGATGTCTCTACTTCAAAGTGTCAGATTTCAGAGGATGTGAGATGACACAAATCTATAACCACAGAAATTCTTAAAGGTGGGGTATGCAATTCTAGGTAATGTGATTCTAATGAGACTTTTTTTTTCTCCTCACAGTCTGATAGCTTTCCGTTCTGTGTGCACTGAAAAAAGGTTTAGGGTTTGGTAAATGGCAAACAAAGTGGATCGAACCGCACACAGCACTAACTTCTTATTCCAACCAGAATTGTGTGTCAGCAGTGTTTCCTATTAATCATCTATGGGAAACACTGGCCAGGTAACATTAAATCACTTGCCCACAGACATGAGATATTCTGGCTGCTGATGGGAGCTATGGCAGCAGGGGAGACGCGAGTATCGCTGTCTGGAGCTGCCGTGCTCGCTCTGGGAAACTCGTCTCGTCCTCTCTGCGTGTGAGCTGAACTTTAGCGACAGTTTGCAAAGCCACAACATAGCTAACGTTAGCTACATGACTCGCTGTGTGCCCTTTAACTTGAATATGGAGACGGACCATGAATGCATTTTTCACACGATTCTGAAGATAACAAAATAAACAGATTTCCATGTTTTCCCAGACAATGCGGAGACCTTATTGTTTCGGATTCTGCAGGGATGGTATGAGGGCCATAAGAAAATATTAGTTAAAAATGACTCTTAAAAGAATGAAGACAGAAGGTTTTTTTATTAGTTGAACTCAAACACTGTTATAATCTCACCAAATATTATGTCCTAATTGAATAACACAAAAAAAACGTTCCATACTGTACATAAGCACATGTACATAACTGCCAATATACATATACTGCAACCCTATTAATAGATTATCACCAATCAATGAACCAACTAATCGAGTGTTCACTGGCTGTATTTCACTGATACTGTACTGTTACTTTTGCACCTGTTTGGGGGGGATAACACAAAGCTTGAGCTTTATTATTGCTACCAGAAATGTTGGTGCTTCAGGCGTATCAGGAGCACCGCTGTGTCTACGTACAGCTGAGGGACAGAGCTGTCAATATGTTCGCCGTGTTCAATATTTGAGCATTAAAGCCTCACAGAGCAGCCTCACATTTGTAATTCCATTACCACTGCTATTAAACCATAGAAGTTTTTATCATCCAGTTTACCTGAAAAATGATTTCTCAGGTATCTTTTTAACGTCCTGATGAACGAATCGAGTGTTATTATAGCATATGGATCATTTTCTAGTAACGACTGCTTACTAATTGCTAATTTTCTATTTAAAAAAAAATGAAAATGAAAACTTTCAACCCACAAATAAATGAATTCATCGACTTCGAGGGGGCGGCCCAGACACCTTCCAAGAACTGCTACTTGTCACTACCACCTACTACTTTCACCACTGCACTTAAATGAAAGTATTACTTACCAGGACGTCTGGCAGCGGGTTCCTTATCAGACAACGGATGAAACCAGCAGAGGCCAGCACCGCCAAAACCACGACACCAATTATCACCAACGAACTCAGCACGGTGGATATCAACGTGTCTGCAGAGAGGAGAGGGTGGTCATGGGACATATTATTCACATTTACTCCCAGAGAGAGAGGGCAGCGTGTGCATGAACTGTGCCTGAAACAACCGGAGTAAGAGATTTTCAAAATAAGGTAGAAATAGGACATGCAATGTGATCCACCCTATCGGATCTGACCATAATAACATTTTCAAGTGTTATTACTATTCTCATGATATCAAGTATTTTTTCTTGAAATTTAAAAGTTGTCGGGTGTTTTGAATGAATCTGAAAATTTCACAAGACATTTAGGTGAATATAAATGTGAAATATTCAGATTTTCTGTTTTGTAATTACAATTACATAAATTTCTTCTCATAAAATTACATAATATAATATAATATCACATTTTCCCTGTAAATAAGATGTCATGCCAGTAAAATTATGACTTTTTCTCATAAATTACGACTTAAGTATTAAGACCTTTATCTTGGAACGTCGGCGATCACAAAAGAACAGTTTGACTTCATTCTCACCATCTTTGTCCCTAATATTCAGAAGTAGTAGTACTCAAACTGACCTGAAGATATTTTGACATGTTACAGCAGGAAAGGCACTGATGGGATCAATAACATAAAAAAAAGGCTGCATCCCAGGTACTGTAGATGCATAACCAGGGTCCTGCTATTGTAGTGAACCAGAGACATCATTGTTACTTAGTTCTACCTGTGTTTTTCCTGCTATTTCAAGTCAAAATGTCTGCTGTGAAGGAGGCCTACACAGATATTTGGATGGGACCTTTCTCACCCTGCACACAGCTGACCAAAGTGGGCCTAAAAACGAGTGGGAGAAACGTACACATTAACACAGTGACCTGTACCTTGAGTATAGATGGCCGTGGTGAAAGCACATACAGGTTGGCTGTAGTTGGACTTCCTGCGCCACATACTCTCTTTGAAGCAGACTGCGACACAGCATTGTATGCCGGGGGCCAGATTGTCAAAAATCACTCTGGATTCCTCGGTGTCCTTAAATAAATGAGACCACAGACAGATGTTAGATCAGTACAAGAGAAAACCACATGACAAACTCAGCATTATTCTCATAGATTACACCACAGGAAGCTTTGTGTTCACACCGGTAATGTATGCAATAGATGCAATGGATGAATGAATGAATGAATCTTTCAAAGCATCCAGTTCAGAAGGAAATTTGGGAGCGCTTCATACAGACAGATGTTATTATTACTCAACCTCCTGGAAAACTTCTCACCTGTACCTGTAGCAACATTTTTCTTAAAAGCAGGACTAGTGGATAAAACATGTATGTGAGTCCATGCAGTCCAGTACCTTCTCTCTGTCCACACCGTTGGCGTTGCACTTGATCGAGAGTCTGTAAGGCAGAAGCTCATATATTTTTCTAAGGTGCTCCATGGGAGGTTGAAGTTCCACACACATGTTGCTACCACAGGGCGTCACGGTCAGCAGCGGCGGGTCCAGGTGAGCTAGGAGACACAGGGAAAGGAGACATACATACATACATAAGCATTTGCCATAAAAAACATACAGTTTATGTTGCTTGGCAACAGCAGGCAGCACCTTCAAACTTGCTAGATTGTCTTGTTGTTGTTTCCATCCAACCAGGCGCAAACTCAAAATATGTACTGCAGAATTATTTCCTGGATGAATATATATTGCTTTATTTGACTTGCTATAGTGTATTTAACAAATGTATAAGCTATTCTAATATAGATTTTTATTTAATTTCATATTTTCTCCATGTGTGTAGCATGAAGGAAGTGCAAACTTTTATTTTGTTGTACAACCTTGTACAATCCTTAATCCTTGACACAATGTTTTTACTGGAGCGCATTTTCTGTTAATGAATGTAGGCACCCTAAACGGTACATTTGTTTATGTAAAGTCATTTGGCGCACCATTTTCTGGTGCAATAGAAGTCTTGAAACAAAGAACCATTAAGGTAAGTAAGCCAGGAAGTACAGCAGGTTTTACATCACATTTTTTAGTACTGTTATTTGTAATAATGTGATATCCAGAGCTTTAAAGTGTTATCTTAATGACCATTATTTACAATGAATTGACTTACTGTTCCTCTAAACAGTTGTTTACTTTTGAAAAAATGCTTTATGCTTTGTATATTGCGCAAGCCATCATGTTAAAATACCATTGAGCAACCCATTGCCACACAGCCCTCACCCTGTTCTGCAAGCAAAACACATCATACCTTTGTGAATGGGGATGTGACGAGTGTGAGCCTGCATTGCTGCCATTAGACCAGAATTAAAGGGAACAACACACACTATAACATCTCCTGGTTGGCAGTTGAACCAGTTTTTTTTTTAGTGCTTTGATCGTTCACACAGGGAATATCCACAGACCACAGAGCCACTTACTGTCTCTGATGGGTTTGAATAATGAGGAGGTGTATGATATTCGGGGCAGTGATTCCGGCAGCGGTGTAATCTGATAAAAGTAGGCGGAGTCGGGGTTGTTGAGGACTTCTGTCAGGTTGAAGGATTCTGTCAGGTTGCAAACCCGTTGGTGCTGGACATGCTCGCAGCCCGCCACCGGCACCCAGGAAGTTCCCCTTTAGGACCAGAGAGGAGGGAAAGAAGAAGACTTTAGGAGGACATAAAAGATTTTATGTTCTTTAAGATTTGAGTTTGACTGGAGGAGTGAGTTTTTGGCTTCACATTCGATCCACTTCTTAATGTCTGTAACTGGTATGACATGGTGGTTCGTGCAATAAACATTTGTTCTACATACTCGGTACACTGTGTCCTCTGACAATCAAAGTGTCAGCAACGGACTGATTCTGTACAGATTCCTGCGATTACGGTTGCAATACACTGACTGTAAGTACAAACACAGATGAAACCTACCTTTCCGTGTGCACAGCGACACGGTAGTAGACTCCTGTGGGTGTCCCCAGTCCAGGATCCCATCTCAGCATATGACGGAAGTGGTCTGAGGTCAGGTTCACGTTGATAGGCTGAGGGAGTTTACTCATAACTGGAATGCAAACAGGACATTAATGGTTACTTGTTTTTCCCTTTTCTTATGGGATGTTACTCGAGTCAGCGACAGTAGTTGGAACTAGAGACCTTACCAGACCTCTGTAGCCCACTCCTTATCTCTGCTGCAGGCTACATTAGCTGCTACTCGCGTAAAACACCCGAATCTCAGGTTGCATTGTGGGTAATGTAGGCACCAGGTTAGGAAGGAGGGGAAAAAAGACAATATCTCTGCTTCTGCTGCATCGGTTTTACTCCTTTTCTTTTCTTTTCTTTTTTTTTTAATACATCCATTGTGACTCCAACAATTATTATTATTATTATTATTATTATTATTATTATTAATATTACAGTTTACAGGGCAATGCTGAATCAGTGGAGTGCCATTTTAGGGCTGCACGATATGGTAAAAACATCACAATGCTATTATTACGATTAACGATTAGTGTGGGAATGACCATCATGATTGCTTTTAAGAGTCTGTACCAAACAAAACCTTCTTAAATCTGGAGAACATTATTTACGATGCAGATTCACAACACTTACTAACTATATTGCTGTTTATAACACACTTTACCTTTAGCCAAAAATGGTAGCTTCATATTGCACTGGGCCATATTGAGATGGATTCATTGTGCGGCCCTGTACTCTTTTAAACAATAAGGCTTGAGATATACTTCCTGTTCAACCACACGTTCAAGCTGCGTTCATTTCTGAGGATTTCTGAGGTCCAAATGGACGCAGGATACACGAGGCAGCCATCACGTGTACGCAGTAGTTAAAAGTAATGCTATCTTTTAAAAAATGACTGACTGACTAGGACTGCAACTTTGCTTATCATCGATTAATATGCTGATTATTTTCACATCTTTAAAATATCTATAAAAATGCTCGCCACAATTTCCCACGGACGAGAGTGACGTCTTCAAAATGCTTCTTTTATCCAACAAATCTAAACACTCTTCTTACTGTGTGTGTGTGAGTGTGTGTGTGTGTGTGTGTGTGTTATTGTGACACATTTGAATAATTAAACCACGTATGTAGCAAAACTGTAATCTTGCCTCCCCCGTTAAACAACAGACCACTTATTTGACTCATGTCAAAACACCTCGTGCATTTGCTTAAACCCACAAAAGGTGGAGAGGCACGTTCAGGTGTAAGCGTGATCCTGACTCACCTGGCAGGACCTGAGGCAGCCACGTGAGCATCCACATGAGAGCAATCATGACAGCCAAACCATCTCTGCCTCACTGCCATGAGCCCCCGGGAGCAGTCGGCACACCTCTCTGGACTGCTTTCACTTTCCCTATGAACAACCTGCCATCACAAATCTGGAGTTAGTGTCACATTTGAAATCACACCTGGCATGCACAAATATTCACTTGGTAGTCAAATATAATGAGATAAATGAGTCATCTTCCACTTGCATAATGTCTGACAGTTACTACTACTGTAAAGAAGCTCAGTCACAACTTGTACTTAAGCTTAAAAATCTAACATTATGTAAAGTTAACACCTAATAAATGCTTGGCACAAACTCTACAACTCTTTTACTGTACATATTCTACATTTAGCACATTTTAATGTCTATTTTTCCCTCCCTTATTTCTATATATAGTTGTAATGTTTATTATATTTATTGTCATGCCCCACAAATGCAAATTCCTCGTATGTGAAAAACATTACAATAAACATGACACTGCAACCACAAGATGCAAAAATACTTTCACTTTGTGTTTACGGTCCCGGTTTAGAATAGCTCAAAACATCCAGTTTAACGTCCCTTTTAACTAGAAAACACTTATAAATGACCGTTAACTGTTGAAAAGAGATAAAGCTACGGGTCTCTAACATCATTATTTATCTCCACACTGCACACACTCGCCGGAAGTGTAACTTAGGTACTTACCGCTAACGTCGCGGATCATTTATCAGCATTATAAACTCACTACCGAGGGAGAAGCTTCAGTAGACAGGCTGGAAAATGTCTGATATTACTGCCAGCTTACCTGTGTTGAGAAGAGTGTCCATGTTTATCAGTGAGTTTGAGTCCCAGACAATCACAGAGGCAGACTCCCACGCGAAACGAGCTAACAGTACACTCCTGCTGCCTTCACGGAACCCCGGTTAAACTGGGAACTCAACTACTTATGATTAGAACAAGGAGCAGCTGTTGCATAGTAACATATATAAATGCTTTAATAAACAGCATTCAATCACGAGCTGTACTTAAAGGGACTACCCTGCTTGTTTTTCCTGATTGGTATTTTGCATCTTTTGGTGGCTTTTATGCTGACTGTAGAGGTAATGGGGATTTGTCCGGCAGGTTCCTGAAGGCAGCACCTGACGAGTGCTGATGATAGGAAATCATGTGACCAGCAGGAGAGACGCTCACAGGGGAGGAAGGGGAGGGGGGAGGGAGGAAGGGAGGAGGGTGTGCACCATCTTCAATTGTTCAATTGTTTGCCAGGCAGGGAGGCAAAAACACCGAAACTTGAACTACTCACGTGAAATTCTGACTCACATAAAAAAATTTGAAAATAACTCTTATTGTTGGATCTCAACAAACAAACAACACATTTAGAATATAATTGTTCTGCCTGTACTTCCCCAGATGTGTTTTGTTTGGGGATTTACAATATATATATATATATTGAATCATTTATTATGAATTCTTGTGCAAAAATGTTTGATAGTAAGTTCTATGAAAGCCAAAGTTGGTTTGTGACAATTGTTCATGTACTTTAGTGAAAAAAGAGTCAGAACTGTTGTTTTAACAATAGCAATGTCAGTGAGATTTAGATTAAGAGCTCAGGGAATATTAAATCATCCACATGCGGTACTATCCTGAAGTGAACTTTAACTTTCCCCTATACAAACTGTTCTGTTTAATAGTGGTTATGAAATAATAACCCTGTCTCTCGTTACGGAAAATCCAGTGACATTTATTTGGAAACTTGATGCGTCTTTGAGAAACAACCACATTTTATCCGCCTTGCTCTCAAACACATAGTTGGGAGTTTCTCTCACATCCTCCGACGCCACCCAACTACACTTCATGTTTCCATTCAAATGCTCACGTCCACTTCAAGTCATAAACTGGTTTGAACTGAGCCATTTTCTCACTCCTTACCGACTTCCATCATCATCTCCGAAAATAATGACGTGTGTGATGTTTTTTTATCCACTTTGCCCGATTGTGTGATCCCAACATGATGTTTTTTTTCACCCCAGCTTAGTGGGAAATCCTTATTATTAAGCCCTGATCCATCTTTGCTCACTTCATATAAGCCTCTCCCACCCTCAGGCGTGCATAAACTGCAGGTTACGAACTTCTTTTAAACATACAAATTGGGAAATGATCAGTTATCTTGTCGGTATTGACCATAAGAAGCAGGTGATTATCGATAATCGCATCGTACACCCACTAGCTTTGGAGAGTGAACACATTACATATTCAAAATGCAGGACACATTCACATTATATAGGATGGAAGGTATTACCCAGAATGCATTCATGCCATCGGACAACTGGAGATGGATGTTTGATTGCGTTTAATGAAGGATTTAACAAAAGCACAGCTGTAAATATTAAAATAATGGCTCAATTCCATTTAGCTGCTTCAGGAAATCACTGTCCCACTGACAGTAGAGGAACAGTTTCCCTCGTCGAACTGTTCTGTGCAAAGGAATTACATAACTTAATTATTTCTATTAATTTATTATAACATTGAACATTCACAAACTTTCTCTAACCAATTTGTTTGGCTTTTCAGGCAGTTTCACAGACACAATTATGACTTTTTAAATAAGTCAGAAACTGATAGTTCTAGAAACTCCAATGTAAGGTGAATGTCTTGGTGGTTTTACTTTACATAGGGTGACTCGACATGTAAATATAACATGCTGTGAGCCAGGACAACTTGCAAACGTAAACAAAACAACGAGACGACTGACGATGAACAAGAACGGAGTGCTCGAAGAACACATACAGTCCAGACTCATAAGGACATACTACCTCAGATTAATATTGAGGTATTCCAGAATTAACATCACACATTTATAAAATGCTGCTTGTTGACAACAATCGCCTGACTTAGAAATGTGTATCAAAAGTAAGTTGATGCAGATAAAAAACATTATGCTTTTTTAAAAATATTATCACTTAATAACTTTAACAGTGCAGGTGGCTATAAAGGTGTTATAGCTGCAGAGAAAAATGTATTGATGACTTGTGTCTTTGCCTTTCCTTAAAAACAGGAAAATAAGACCACATAAACAACTAAATTAAGTTATATACTTTTCCTTGAATAAAAAGGAATATACCCACTGGGAGGAGATTCATTAAAGGACCAGTGTGTAGGATTAGGCAGCATCTAGCAGTGAGGTTACAGAGTGCAACCATCTGAATACCCCTCCCTTCACCCTCCCACTCAAAGGCGTGTAGGAGAAACTAAAGTGGCTGAGAAACTTCCATAAGGCTCTATCTAGAGCAGAATTATTATAGTTTTATGTTTTTCATTTTAATTTTTGTTTTAAATTCAGTTTAGAGGTTTATATTGTTTTAAAATCTTTAGTTTGTATTAGTTTTCCTTTTTTAAACATAATATGGGTGTGTGTTATTTTTAGATTTGAGAAGCTCAGAATAAGTATTACAATACAAACACATGACTCACAGTCACACCTGCTGCATTGACAAATTAGACCAAATTGACAAAGACTGAAACTAAAGACATTTACTGTATTTGTATTGTTTAGTTTGTTACCCAATATTGTTCAAGTTAGTTTTTTTTTTCTTTTTTATACAAACGGCTCATCCGAAGGTATATTCAGGTGATTATACACTAAAATGTCAAAAAACTTTAATGATACTCATATACACACATTAATAAACATCATAGCACTATATCATCTGTGTTTCATATATCCGGAGAATTCCTCCTCCTCCTCCTCCTCCTCCTCATGCTGCATCTCATCACATGTCCTGAGGCAGCCGGACAAAGTGTCCACACGTCTGCCTTCATACCCAGTCTCACTGAAGTCTTCCTGGGTAGGCAGCTTTAATGCCACAGCTGTCTGATCGTCGGAATCAGCCTGCGAGTCTGTGGCCAGCAGAGGCTCCAGATCGAATAGTTTCAAAAAGTCTGTGAGAGAACCCATGTATTCTGCTCCTCCTCCTCCTCCTCCTCCTCATATGCATCCAGTGCTGCGAGGGTGACTGAGAACAGATTGACATTTCCGGAGCTGTCAAACATCTCCTCCTCCTCCTCTTCCTCCTCCTCCTCCTCCACATGAACTGTGACATGTCCCTGCACTGCAGTTGGACCCCCCTCAGGGATTAAAGAAACGTCCTCTCCTTCAGCGTTGGCCTCGTGTTGATCGAGCCACTCATGTGCAGCTTCAGTTTCTGGTACCTCCGAGTCCCCCGACGCAGCCAGCGGTCTGTTCCCTGACGAATCACCAGAGTCCTTGCAGGAACTTTGACCTGAGGAAAGCTCGGTGGGTCTATCCATGTAGATTTGCATCCCTGCCTCTTCATCCTCATCTTCATCCTCTTCCTCCGAGTTAGCACCCCCGTTGGCAGGTTGCCGTGGCGAGGGATTATTGTGTATCCGCTGTTTCTCCATCTTTGGGCTGATGGAGATCCGGTCTGGGGCTGTCTTCTCTAGCGTCAGGATGCGGCCTTGACTCAGAGACGCCTAAAGACGGAACGAAGAGACAAAGAGTCAGGCGGGGAAGGGGACAGTGAGACAGTAGAATAGATACGTCAACTTAAATACAGTAGGGTATCATCTATTCGCAGTCTATGGCAACAAATCTTTGAAGTAGTTTGGAACTTCGGGTCTACATGGAAGCAGAACTACAGCAGACGGCGGTCAGGACACCCTCACAGTGTTCCCACTTGCTGTAACGGTCACATAATTTACAGACAGGCCTAGTATTACCACATTTAACTCTTTAACTTTAGGATTTATTCCTCCTTTCTCTCCAAAGCCACCAGACTCCTTTGACAAAAACAGTCATTTTACCTCACAGCTCACAGGAGTTACTGGTCCACAGCACATAATGTGTTAAAGCACCAAAGTCACACAATAAGACAAACACACTAACTGATCAAGGAAGCAGTGGACCAGCAACTCCTGTGTTCTGTGAGGTAAAATGACTGTTTTCGTTACAGGAGTCTGGTGAGGAGAGCATGGATCAATATACACGCTTCAATTCCCTGTTGGAAATGGCTGTACGGCAGCAAGGTAAATGGTGAAAGTATTCTAAATATAGCGTACACTTAAAACTTGTATTGATTTTTTTAAGGTGGCTAAGAATTACAATTGCCAACCAAAGAAAGTGATTCCAAAGGAAATGATTAACAATAGATGCTGAATGCCGCTAAGTGAGCATGTTTATTTGTAATTCGGTCTAGGAGGCCACTTAAATCTTTAAAGGAATAGTTTGGCATGATAGATAGATAGATAGATAGATAGATAGATAGATAGATAGATAGATAGATAGATAGATTTCTTACGACTAGTCCTCTGGGCATTGTTTTCTTTAGTTTACAGATGAATCCAGTGTATTGAAGGAAAAGTATGAAGACCGTCACGGCACCCAAGACGAGAAACAGAAGAGCAGCAACTATACCTAAAACACCAGGGACTGAGGCACACACACACACACACACACACACACACACACACACACACACAGTAATACATTTTTATTATAGTCTTTATTTTCATGCACTGGCATTTTCCTGAGGTACACTGAGGTTATTGTCTAGTATGTAAAATAGTCAAATCAAACAGAACTTATCTTAAAATTAACCAATTATGGTTTACATTTATTTCACTTATGGCATTGCAGTGGCATTTAAGTTCACATGGGGACTGCATGGATCACTTCATCACACACAGAAACACAGTGACAATTTGATTTTGTAAGTTGCCCCAGAATAGTGAATTCAAACTCAAAAAGAGACATCATCTGATCTTGCCAGCATATTCAAGCTGCTGTATTCTTATTTGAAACTATGCACTTCCAAATGTAGAGCCCAGAATCTCTAAATGTCAGTCCAGCATCTTAATAAAAACACAACACTACTGTCATAACAGCATAAACA